ATCTACATAAAGAACGCGATTTACCATTACAAAAGCTGCTGGATAATGTTTTGGCTTTTGTATTTCCATTTACAAAGGACGCATGTCTGTTGGCCAATTCAATTACATTAAGCAAGGATATATTTGATGCTTTTGAAAAAGTAATTTATAAACAAGGACGCATGTCTGTTGGGGAATTCAATTACATTAAGCAAGGATATACTTGATGTTTTTGAAAGAGTAATTTATTACAAAGGACGCATGTTTGTTGGCAAATATGATTACATTAAGCAAGGATATATTTGATGTTTTTTGAGAGAGTAATTTATTACAAAGGACGCATGTTTGTTGGCAAATTTGATTTGGGCACGAATTCGCAGGTTTCGATATATTCATTACAAAACTAATTGATTTCAAAATAACATTCGAAGCCTGGGGGAATTGTTCGTATTCATTTCTTTTACATGATACTATGTCTATAAGAGATATCGAACACAATGGATTAAATTGAGTAAGAAGACATGAGAAGACATAGGAAAAATCTATATATTATTATGTACAAAGAATAATAACCTTAAGTTTTCAAGGACCAGCTGGTCTTCCTCTAGACATTGATTTTCAAGGATTACACGTATTCATTTACAGCTTGTTGGGATTTGACCACAGACCGTACCAGGCCTACCTCAATTATCTGCAGATTTCAGCATCTTACCTCAAACTGTTTGGGTAATGAGGTGAGAACTGGTGCAGACTACTACTCGGATGTTCAGACGATAACAACCTAAAGTTTTCAAGGACCAGCTGGTCTTCCTCTATACATCGATTTTCAAAGATTACACTCTACACTGATCCATCTCAGTTATCTACAGCTTGAAGCAGCGACACCAGACCGGTGCAATCTATTTTCAGAAACCGGAAGGAGACGAACACTTCTCAAAATTGATAGTTGTCCTTGGAAGCCCATACCAGGACCTTGTGTTATGCTCCCGAAAAAAATTTTATTTTCAAAGGGTTGGTCAACAATGAATAATGGAAAAGACAATCTTGTGAAAAGACCAGGCATAAAACATTTTATTCGATTACACGTTAACCCATTTTCAGTCACATGGGAATGTATTAGGAATAGTTAATAAAACACGCTGTTACCCATAGTTTCATGCTATGCGATCTTCAAACATCAGACCCATTTATTTCAGCCTTTGTCCCTACTGAAGTTGGACAAGTAGAACTTATTCTCATGTCTTTATTTCAAGACGAGTTCAGAACGTTTGTTTAAAAAAGTGTGATTAAAGGGCATTAATGATGGAAAGCTTTTCATTAAAACCAGCGGCCTATCATTCTTTTAAAAATGAATGCTCACTGCTTTCGCGTCACAATCTTTTTCCTCATTGGACAAAATTCTTCAAAATTTTACTCCAATATTTCCAGATGTAAATGAGATCAATCTTTAATGGTGCATTAGAATAGGATTACCACGTTGTATTAGTTCTGCCTTGATAAAGAGTGATGCCAATCTCTTAAATGAGAAACAATCAAGCTAAATGATTTACGTCAGATTTATTTCGTGCAATATATGAATTAATTGGATTCGTCATGCAAAGTCAACATAGTGAACGGAAATCTCAAGAATATGTGGGATCATATGACAGGCTATGAATCGATTCATAGCACGAACATTGTACGGTGGCTTGTTTAGGAAAAATTATAATTCTAAAAACTTTGGAGGGTAATACAAAATTTTTATTATCAAACACGCTGTAAAAAAATTTCTTAAGCATGTTATTGACTTTTATGGATCAACTTGGACGACCTGAATTAGATTTAAAAGGGCTGATATAAATAGAAGTGTATTATTACGCAAACAGTTTAAACTAGTTTTTGGTATTGGGCCTTATAATAGTTTGCCTTTACTAATTGAAACTTTTCGATTACGTTGGAGAAATTTGTTTTCCAAAGCTAACCTAAAACATAGATTTTTATACACTTTTATTGGTTTACGTAAACATTTTAAATAGTTTTCTAAAAATTAAAGGAAAGATACCTTTACTAGAAACTTTCAGATAGAGAAAGGGACACGTTTCTTAAGATTGTCCTAAACGAACCACCATAAAATTGTATTAATGGAATTAATATATTAAAGTTTTAGTGGTAATTTGAGTAATTGATTTTTATATACTGTATTCTACTGGGATAATAGTCTATTTACCAGTGAGACTGGATATTTGAAAGTTTCCATGAACGGCATCAACATTGCGGTTAAGATTCAAAACGTCACGCCTCAGTTGCGTTAGGAATATTGCGAGCGAGGATATCTTTTCTACGCTTCCAAAAACGGATATTGACATCAGCCTTGCATTTAGTAATCAACACGTTACGACCAAGTTGCGTCTGTACTTTTGAGAGTCGTGCGGTTTTATACATCATTTAATGGTAACCGAAAGCATTTTATTTTCTTATTATGATTATGATATGGATGTTGCGTTTCGTTGTTTTCTTCTGAGGGTTACTACACTTGTCAAGCATAATCTGACTAGATTCTTCCTTAAATAGTGTCCTGTGCCACTTGAAAATAATAGCACCAAAACGTCATAAATTAAGTTTATCATAAGTTAAAAAACACCATTAAAAGTGAATAAACAAGTCAATCTTTGATAATGAATACCTAACATATAACAGCATTTGATTGGTTGAATTTCAGGTGACCTAGAACAGAATATGCATAACAATTTCGTCAGATCATTGATAAAAGGAGAATCACTCGCAGAAAAAAATAAATTTCTAGATATACATTACGTACAGTCAGATATATTTTAGGATGTTTTGTTTGGTTTTTCTGTTGTATATAAAAAAATATGTTTGTAATTGGATTCATTTGAGTTCATTATACAAATCGTTGCGAAACAATTGCGAATTTTTCTATGAATCATTCGTTTCAATACTTTCGTGCCTACGGGTACAGACAAAGCGTTTGTGAGATTGTCTACAAAAGTAGACAACAGAAGATAGTTTGATGTTTCAACTAATGATGTACTTATTTTATTAGTAAAATGGAATAACAATGGGGGAATGTCAGTCTGGCCTTATTTCAACTGCCAGATCAATTTTGAATAAAATTTTGTTAATTGTGTTTTTATTGAGAGAAAAATGTTTATCCTTTCAGGGAAAGAGCTGATTATGCATACCAACAAGCTATTAAACTTTTTAGCAAAGAATTACAATACAATATGAGTAATATCATGATACTAGTTAAAAACTAGTGGAAAAATATTTGTATAACCAAAATTTGGTACAGAGATCCGTAAAATCTGCTTGGGAACAAGTCAATGACGTCAACAGATTCCAACACTCTAACTGATTGAGCTACAAACTATACATAATCCTGCTTGACACTAGCTTGAACCGTAATGCCGGAAATATCGGATCAGTAGCATTCTACCCGACTAAATGTAATTTAACTTCGAATAAGTTGTCACAAGATTTCAACATTTTAACTGACTGAGTTACACCCCGTGCTCAGAAACAAGATGACACTACCTTGACTGGTGTTGTAAATGCAATACTTCGATAAAATAAGTATTCTAATGTGATTTAACCAAGGAAATGACGTCAGAAGAGGCCAACACTTCAACCAACTGAGTTACAACCCGTACTCAGAAACAAGATGGCGCTGCCTTGACTGGTGTTATAATGCCATACTTCAATAAAAAAAAAAAGTATTTTACCTGGTTTATTGTGATTGAACTAAGCATACGACGTCAGAAGATTCCAACACTTCAACCGACTGAGTTACAACCCGTCCTCAAATACAGAATCAGAATGACATTGTCGCATTCAGTATTCTATCTGCTTAATGTGATTAGACTATGAATCTAAGATCGTATCGATGACAGTAAATAAGGTTGAGAGTTTTAGGCTATTAGATATTGAATAATTAACTAGTCTTATTTAGTGTTTGTTTGATCGGCAAGAATTGCTGCCACGTTTTGAAACTGATACGTTGGTGTCGTTTACAGTTACACGATGTACAGAACTGTAAAAGGCATTTGTTGGCGAGGAACTTGTCTTTTTCTTTTGTGTACTTCAGGGTAGAAGCTCCCGATGATGATGCTGTGGTACAAAAGAAGATTTAGTGGTATGACTAATATGCAGTATACAGTTGTGAAGCCGCAATAAGTAAGTGAGCTTATTCAGTGATATGGGAGGTGACTTGGCTTAATGCTAATGACTTTGATGCGCTTGCTAACTTGAAGGTCTGGGGATCAATTCCGGTATTGGTTGAGATACCTTCAAAATTGTCAACCTGGTTTCCTTATCGGCGGTGCAGGTAGGAGGCAGTGGCGCATGTAGGGGAAAATGAAAATTTATTCTATTTTCACTGCCAAAGTCGCGTAAGATGCATTCTACACCTTCCTAGATTAGAAAGTTTACTAGGAGAATCCCGCCTGACCCCCCACCGAGAGGAGTACCCTCTACAATCCAAAGGGGGACCCGAGGTGCTCAGAGGTCCCGCCTCAATGAATTCCTAGCTACGTCACTGGTAGGAGGCGTTGTTCGGTATGCAATAGAATGTGCTAGTCAAAAGTCCTTTCAAATCCTACTTGTGTACTGTCTGGTGTTGCTCGCCTTCAGTAGCCGAATTATTTGCAGGAAAGAGTAGACTTAAAACACCAGTAGGTAAACAAACGACGTACGTGGAAGAATAAATGTAGTGCTAATTTGGATCCCAATGAGCAAGCATAAGAGCTGCGTAGACTCTCCATTTATTTTTTGTCCACAAATGTTCCACCTACCGCTTTTTTTTCAGGTAATTTTCGACAAAGATGTTTTTATTTTGTAACATGGTGTAGATCATGAAAATCATTTTTGTTTGGACTTTGTTCTTGACCGTTACGGACGGTGCGTTGGCTGAAAATGTAACGTATATAAATGAGGAGACAAAGCTTATAAAAGTGCTTTGCGTTATACTGAAAACCTTACGTTGGCGAAACGCGGTGGTATTTTACGATACGTTCGAAGACGAGATGCTAATGGACGACGCCCTGTCTTTGTGTCTAGGTCAAAATAGTGGCTTCATGACCACTCGCTACGATTTAACAAATTCAAGCCACGCTAACATGAAAGACATCCTAATAAACGAATACGACAACGTTCGAAGTAACGTCAACACTCTGCTCGTTCTGGGTCAGAAAACAGCGGAGTTGCTGGATGTGTTCAACAGATCGAAGTGGCCCTTTAACCATTACATTCATTATGCAACCAACTCCAAATGGATTATCATTGACAAAGACAAAAACTTTACCAAATCCCTAGATACGCTGAAGCAAATGAATGTGTTGGTAATTGGGCATCACGGTTCGTGCGTTCACTTGTACTGCCCTATAAACGGAACGGAGTTGGACCTTCGATGTATGGACATGGCGGATTATCAAAACATAAGCATTGGTGATCTTCAAACAGCACCATGTGACGAACGCGACTTCTTTCCAAATCTGAAGAACAAACTCAGTAGGTTGCATTTGAACATTGGTGTTATCGAATCTGTTTCCTTCTTTGAGATTCACGTAGACGGAAACAACGTCACTGCGTATACTGGAATTATTCCGCTGCTTGTAAAAATTCTTGCATATGAATTGAATTTTACGTACTCGTTTGTGCTACCAGCCGATCGAAGTTGGGGTATTAAAGAAAATGGAGAATGGAACGGGATGATCAAAGATCTCATAGAGCACAGAACGAACGTGATTGCGGCTGATCTAACCGTGACTAGCGAACGATTTGAGGTGGTCGATTTTGTGTTCCCAGCAATAATGATACAAGACCTAGGCATCCTTTATAGAAAGGGAATCCAGGGCCAAGAAAGCGATTGGATTCGCGTCTTTGGACCATTGGATCCAAGCGTATATGCCGTAACGTTTTCGTGTCTTATTGTGGTCGGTGTTCTGTTGCTAGTGTTAGATCGGGACCAGAAATCGAACACATTCCTCATGCACATCAAACGATTGATGAACGTGGAATATGTGTCAAGCGTTATGTTGTCTGTGATAGGTGTAGTGTTGCTGCAAGGGAATGGCTTGCGACCGAGAACGGCATCTTCGAAGATGCTGGCCGCGACCTTCTGGATGTTCTGCATCGTCATAACTGGAACATATATTGGCAATCTGACTGCTCGCATGACGATCAGCGTAGTGAGTAAGCCTTTCACCAACCTTGAAGGGCTGGTAGCATCAAAGGACTGGACTTGGGGCGTTGGTGGTGAATTCACTGCGGATATGATTCGTCTACATCAAGAGGTTACGATGAAAAAGGTGTGGAACGGGCTCGTCAATCTCAATAGGACAGTTCCGGGGGTGCTTGATTTTAACAATACATTTCAATTCAGTCGAATCTTAGATCCAAGTCTGAAGTATGCATATATCGTTTTAGACGCTAAGTATTTTGTGAACAACCGGATGGACTGTGCATTTGAGCTATCAGATAGCGTCCTATCGGGGTTGTCGATAGCTTTAGCAGTCAACAAAAACTCGTCGTTGAGGGCCGAATTCGAGAAGGTAATGTGGGGACTCTTCAACAATGGGATTTTGGACAAAATTCACGACGACCACTACCGTGATAACAGACCACTCAGCTGCTTGAAGCCCACACCAAGAAAGACGGTACAGGCAAATGACTTACTTGGTGCAGTTTTGGTAGTAATATTTGGAGTAGGTTTGGCGTTCATTGTGTTGCTTCTGGAATGGATTCCAAGATTCTGTAAAAGCTGTCGTAAAGATGACAATAGACATTGAAAGTGCAAATTTATTAAAATATATTAATGATGAAGTTATAATTATACATCCTATTGGGCCTTCGCAGTAAAACCAAATTTCTAGAGGGGGAGGGGGGTACCTGTATATAAACCTTTTTGTACGACCAAGGCCAATACCATGTAATCTGCAATGAAATATTAAATTAGAATCTTATTCCATGTCATTTCAGTTTAATCATGTGTGGACTGATTATTTATGATATTCAGACAAGTTATCTCCCTTGAATTGTAAAAATTAAAGTTTCTGTAATATTGAAGTTTGAGCCATTAGTTCACTCATTTGATTGGTTACGTCGAGCGAATGGTGGCTGTAGGTTGCGATCTCTATAAGCGTGTGAAACTATGGTGACCTTTGAATAAATCATAATTCCAGTCGACCCAGCTGTACATGGATGCAGATAATACGGGAAAAATCAATGCAAAGTGGTTTGGCCAAGAACCAGCTGGTAGAAAAGATCCGTAACTGTGAACCTTAGTTGTTATCGTTGTAAAATACAGTTGGATCTTTCTTTCTTTCGTTTCTGTAGAATCTGACCAACGTCTACTGTAGATTCTAACGTTAAAAGTAAAATTCCAACAAGAAACCTTGACAAGAAATAAAACGACAAACGACTTTTTATGTAGCGAAATGATACTGAGTTCAACCGGGATTCATCCTTTAATGACGAAGTAAGGGCTGACATGGTAAATACGATGATTGGATGGTTGGACAATTAACAGAACCGCCAACTATGTGCTTCAAAACTGTTGATTCAAACCTAGTTATTATTTGTTTAAATCCAAACATCAATTTACCAACGCAAACAACAAACATTTCAGCATCAAAACATTTACGTAAACCTATTACATAGTTTGTAGCGTCAAGTGTAAAAGACCTTCGGTCTATAGTTTACAAGCAGAGATCACACAACAATTTATAGCCTTGCAGATAGAAGAGAGTTGAATGACATTATCGATGCGAAAACATACATCGGTATTTCAATTAGGCGGACACTTTCTAATCATTTCAAACGAAATTTACTCTTTACAAATCAGATACTTCGGATATTGTCTGTGTAATTCATTAAACAAAATTTCCATGATTAGGATCACAGCCGACAATCCTATCCCGAAACCAAAAATTAACACCAAGCCAAGCATATCATCAACGTACATTGGGCGATTCGTTTTAGACACTTTACAGTGTGTTGGTCGGTGGTCTACGTAATACCCATCTTGCAGTAACTGCAATATACCGTTATTTGACAAAGCCCACATCGTCTGTTCAAGATCGTGTTTCAGATAAGAGTCTTTAGTCACAGCCAAAGCAAGCCCAAGGGAGCTGATAACATTGTCCACGATAGCAAAGTTGCAATGGGTGCTGTTAAACATATAGAATTTGGGATCCAAAAGAACTAAAGCGTATTTTTCCCTCGAATTCAAAACCTTATCTAGTTGGATTTCAAGATCCCACGCAAACGTATTCGGGTCCGTTTTGTTGAACTCAACCATTCCTTTGTACAATTTCTTCATGACCTCTTCCCGAGAATTCTTGATGATGCTTTGGACGAGGCCACCGCCCATCATTCCCCATTTCCAGCCTTCCAAATTAACCAATTCATCCAAACTGGAAAACGGACGCGTTTCGATCTTCTCTGTCAATTTTGCCGTAAGGTTTCCAACGTAAGTCGCAGTTAAAACGACTGCGAAGAACCAAAAGTGCGCTACTAAAATGCGAGCTGACGTTTTCTTAGGCCATAATCCATTTCCATTCAACGATACAAATCCCAAGACGGATGTTAAAGAGGAAAAGAATTTCAAAAGGGTCCGTTTTTTAGTGACATAAAATGAAGAATTTTGATCAAAATTTTCGTCAATCAGGTAAAATAAAATTCCAACAACTATCACAGTCGCAAGAAAACAGACGTAAACGTAACCGCTAAGTGGTCGGAAGAGTTTTATCCAATTGCTGTCCTCGGAGATGTCTTTGCGGAAGATGACTCCCAAATTCTGATTGATATACATGGGCAGAATGAAGTCAATTACTTCCAGTCGTTCACTTGATATGGTAAAATCTGCTACGACCATGTCAACTTTTTGGTAGAACAATTGTCCAGTCAAACCATTCCACGTGCCGTTAACGACAGCGCCGTATCGTCGGTCCGGCGTCTCCACAAACGAGTATGTAAAATTGAGCTGCTGTGCTAGAATTGTAGTTAAGTCAGATAAAATTCCGGTGTATATGGTATTATTGTTTTCATCGTACCTCTTTGAAATAAATTGGTCTATATAAACAGTACCGATTTGAAGATGACGACCATTAAACTTATACTGTATATTTGGAAAGAGTTCGTCAACAGAACACTTGACGTTAGTTTGAAGACATGGAACTTCCTTTCTGTGTTGTCCATCCACGACAGAAGTTGCCTCTAAAGTCCCTTTCTTACACTGTAAAAGTATGACATGTGTCAATTCGAATGGTTGTTCGAAATTAAAATGATCGAAAATAATCCATTGTGAATTTGTTCTGAAATTGGTCGTCCTGTTCGATTCATAATCCAAAACATTTGTCAATTCTAAAAATGGGATAGTGCTTTCATTCAAAATAAAAAGGAACCCGTCCGCAACGTCATACGACGTAAGGAGGATGCGTTTCATATATTCACGACTCTTGTTAGTGACATCATACGTACACATTTGTAATCCGTAAGCCTTCTCGTCTAACGCATCAAAAATATATCGTAAGTCGAAATCGTCTTCTGTCGAATGAATGATTACTACACTTTTCCACGACACTGTACGCATTATCTGCGACAACAATGTATAATCATTTACACAGCAAAGCTGATTCTGCTTGGGCAACTTCTCCAAATTGCTGCCGATACTTAAATTCGATTCACAAACCAGTACCACGAATATAATGGAAATTACAAAAGTTCTGCCACAACAATTAGCCATAGCCTTTTCCCATTTCATACTTAGCACGCTTATTCAAACTACATCCAAAGGAAAATGTTAAGACAAATATTCTAAATTGCTGCCGATTCTTAAAATCGATTCACAAACCATCATCATGAAAGTGAAGAAAATTACAGAAGGTCTGCCGCAAGAATTAGCCATTGCCTTCTCCTATTACATACTTAGCACGTTTGTTTGGGTAATCGTCACGAACAGCACACATTCAATAACAGTATTTGTAAAGCATAAGCTTCTGGGTTGTAATCTGGGTTAGTTTGTGTCAGCCCAGTCCAGGTCAAATCGGCTGTACATGTAAATGGGTACGGATAATCCGAGAAAGATCAATGCCAAAAGATTATACATAATTATTTCCAAAAATGCCCCACCATTACTTTTAATTCCAAAGTTCCAAAACTATCAATACGAATATTTTCGTCAATGTTTATTGATGCCAGATTTCACCGCATCATAACTGAAACTAACGTAATTAGTGACCGCCCACATTTACAAATATCAATATAAAAAATTAATTATCGATCCAGGGCCTCGACATAGTACTACCAAAACTTTCAAATTTAGTCGAACTCCAAGAGCTACATATTTGGTCTACACAAATCACTCATAATTTCCAGTCAAAAATTGAAAAATCCGTCTGAAAGCTTTAAGAACCAGTATGTTTATTTGTTTCTTCACCCTACGTCCAACTTGGAAACGTTAACTCTTATTTCCAGAAAAGCTGTCCTCTGTATCTGTAACACAAGGCGACAGCATTAGATAATCTCTAGTCAATTAAACTCCATTAGTTTATTAGATTCGACTGTATAGCGTACAAATACTTAAAACTGTTTTCATTTCCTCAAGTCCATAACAATTTGCTCCAGTTTATCAAGAAATATTTATCAAACCGTTCTATAATTACATTTAATGTGTTATCAATGTTTTGATCTACCCATACTAATGTTGACAATCTACAACTATTAATTGCGAGAATGTTTAATTAAGGCGGTGCCATAACTTGGTATTTGATGTGATCTGATAAGTCAGGAATATCGGCAATCACATTTATAAAGCTCAAACGCTGTATTTGAATAGCACAGTTTCATAATTCAGTCGTTAACTTTTTATTCGTGTATGTTTACGACGTTTGAATAGCTCAGTCGTTGAAGAGTTGGATTGACGTTTGCTACGCGATTAGATGCCGTAGGTTCAAATCCGTCTGAAGGCTAGCAAAATACGGATACCAATGCTTCCAGTATCATCTTCAAAATGATCAAGGTATTACTAACTTCGTCTTATACCTTGACTGCATTAGCCACTCCTCCGGTATCACGACGACTTGATTGGATTGTACGCTAGAATAACAAAACAGAAAGAAATTATGATTTACTGTTAATAGACTTTTGTCGAGGCCTCTGATAGGCTGAAACTAGTGTTCGCACTAATCAAACACTGCATTTACAAACTTCCATTATACAAGAATAGTGGCAATTGTGGTCAAGGTATAAGCTTAACCGTTGTGAATATGGTCCGGTGTAGGCTTTCACAACCCCTACCCACCTACGTTAACCTCTCTGCTCTTGTTGTAACAATTTTCAAAACATTTTCACTACGAGTCAAAACCTTCCTTCAAGAAATGCCCCTTCTCTTGAGAAACCAATTGATTCAAACAAGACAACCTCATCAAGACCGTCCTTCTCAGTTTCAATCGAAGTGGGCACCAGGTTAATTTTGAGCAGGTGGTACTCAACTGTCATGGAGACTCAAACCACAGTTTTCGTCGCCTACAAGCCTACCACTTGGACGTACAACTGCCCTCTAAGAACAACAACTTTACTGTACAATCTTTAACCCTTACAATAGTCGCATAATAACACATATTATTCTTCAATCAATATTTTCTAGGTAATCAAGTCGGGCGAGAAACGTGTTTATGTCTGTACATCGATCGTCACGATTTATTCATTGATCATGTACAAAGTCCACAAGATTCAAATTTCATCAATTACAGCCATCATCAGATGTTCCACTTAAAGGAAGGTGGGTCAGTAAATGACTAGTTAATGTTCGCTTCCAACGGAGGATGATATCACTTTGTTGGTAGGTGACAAGATAACGTCGCGTCCAGTAGATGCTGGTATCGCACACTAAGAAGTTGTTGGTAGATGTATTTAAACGTCCGCCTAATTGATATCGTAGCCAAGGAAGTTGTTGGTTGATGACAAGATAACGTCCACTTCCAGCTAACTGATATCATAGAATATGTAGTTGTTGGTTGATGACAAGTTAACGTCCGGCTCCAGCTAACTGATATCATAGACTAGGTAGTTGTTGGTTGATGACAAGTTAACGTCCGCTTCCAGATAACTGATATCATAGACTAGGTAGTTGTTAGTTGATGACAAGATAACGTCCGCTTCCAGATAACTGACATCGCAACCTAGGTATATTCTAGTAGATGACAAGTGAGCTTTCATTTGGAAGATGGACCTGGTTAGTTGGTTGATTGGTAGGTGACAAGATAACGTCGCGACAATCAGATGCTGATATCGCAGCCAAAGTAGTTGTTGGTAGTCGTAGTTGGATTGGTTCAATTTCATGACACTATTATTAGTAGTTGAGAATCCACTTCAAGGCCATAATTCATCATTTACGGAGATTTGATTTGAATGCTTGTAAATGGTTTTCAAAAGTACCAGATCGTTACGAAAATTGCGTTATTCCTTCAAATATTCCTAAAACTTCTGTTTTTTCTCCCAATAGTTCTGATCTTTTGCCTATCGGGGTTGGTCGATAGCTTTAGCAGTCAACAAAACTCGTCATTGAGGTAATGTTGGGACTCTTCAACAATGGGATTTGGACAAAATTCACGACGATCACTACCGTGATAACAGACCACTCAGCTGCTTGAAGCCCACACCAAGAAAGACGGTACAGGCAAATGGCTTACTAGCTGCAGTTTTGGTAGTAATATTTGGAGTAGGTTTGGCGTTCATTGTGTTGCTTCTGGAATGGGTTCCAAGATTCTGTAAAAGCTGTCGTAAAGATGACGATATTGATGAAATGAAATATTAGATTGCTTTTTTCCTTATTAAAGTAGACCCTATCCAATGGTTAGAGTACATTTAGAAACAAAACACGTTACGGTTTTTGAAGATTAGTATTAAGTCCATGCATATGACGAAAATCGTATTCCATGTCATTTCAGTTTAATCATGTGTGGACTGATTATTTATGATATTGTTGTCTCCCTTAAATTGTAAAAATTAAAGTTTCTGTAATACTGAAGTTTGAGCCATTAGTTCACTCATTTGATTGGTTACGTCGAGCGAATGGTGGCTGTAGGTTGCGATCTCGATCAGCGTGTGAAACTCTGATGACCTTTGAATAAGTCATAATTCCAGTGACCCAGCTGTACATGGATGCGGATAATCCTCGAAAAATCAATGCAAAGTGGTTTGGCCAAGAACCAGCTGGTACCTACTGTGAACCTTAGTTGTTATCCTTGTAAAATATAGTTGGTTCTTTCTTTCTTTCGTTTCTGTAGAATCTGACCAACGTCTACTGTAGATTTTAACGTTAAAAGTAAAATTCCAACAAGAAACCTTGACAAGAAACAAAACGACTTTTTATGTAGCGAAAAAAAAACCCATCGGAAGCTATATAAGTGTTGCTGCAAACAACGCCCACTCTACTCGGGGAACGTTACCCATATACGTTAACGCCATTGAAACACCGTTCATAATTGAAATGTTTATTGTTTATTCCCATCAGTCCCATACACGTGTAAATACAGTCTGAATACGTTTACAAGACAATATATGACAAACATTGAGTTGATAATGGCACAGGCCTACACGACCACATGTTGACGTTAAACGTTTCTACAGCAGCTTACACGACTATACACGACTACACGATTACACGGTTTAGCTGAAAATACAATAAGGATTTATAAGATAGTGTTTACTCATAAACGTAAATATAACACCAATGCCTTTGGTTAATAAATAAGCTGACATGACGTGCAAATTACAGACACCAAGTAGGCCTAGGCCCACGGTCTACGATACAATGACAAACACGTTAGTTATTTACGTTAATACGTTAAGCTAGCAATTGACCTTCACTATAGTCATACTCTATGCGTTTTGCGTTATTAATATACATAATTATTTGTGACTAAAACTTACAACTTATGAGGGGATATGGGGCGTTATGTATGCGTTCTATTGATTTGTCTGTAAAAACAATGGCGGCGTTATTATTAAAGAAAGTTGCAAGTTCGTTTTGTCTTCATCGTTAAATTAGGGTTGCGTTCGTTTTATACAAATAGGTCTACACGTATCAATTAGACTCTGTCACACAAGTAACTTTTATTTATAACTTTTACATTACTTAGCAATCCATAAATAACTAAAGCAGTTTCCAGAAACAACAGAAGCAACATTTTAATTATTGTAGTAACAATCCTATGGTTTAGTATTATCGATAAGGCTTTTATCATGATGATTTGATCTTGAGATAGGTCGAGATGATAGGCTACTGGGTTCAACTGGGTTTTAAGGAAAAAGAAAGGGCTGACATGGTGAATGTTAAGATCGGATGGTCGGACAATTCAGAACTGTTGATTCAAATCTAGTTATTATTTGTTTAAATCTAAACACAAACAACAAACATGCCGACATTAAAGCGTTTACGTAAACTTATTACATAGTTTGTAGCGTCAAGTGTAAGAGTCTACAGTTTACAAGCACAAAAATATATAGCCTTGCACATACCAGACAGTTGAATGTCGAAAACATACATCGGTATTTCAATAAGGCGGACACTTTTTAATCATTTCAAACGAAAATTACTCTTTACAAATCAGATACTTCGGCTATTTTCTGCGTAATTCATTAAACAAAATTTCCACGATTAGGATCACAGCCGACAATCCTATCCCAAAACCAAAAATTAATACCAAGCCAAGCATATCAACAACGTACATTGGGCGATTCGTTTTAGACACTTTACAGTGTGTTGGTCGGTGGTCTACGTAATGCCCATCTTGCAGTAACTGCAATATACCGTTATTTGACAAAGCCCACATCGTCTGTTCAAGATCGTGTTTCAGATAAGAGTCTTTAGTCACAGCCAAAGCAAGCCCAAGAGAGCTGATAACATTGTCCACGATAGCAAAGTTGCAATGGGTGCTGTTTAACATATAGAATTTGGGATCCAAAAGAACTAAAGCGTATTTTTCCCTCAAATTCAAAACCTTGTCTAAATGGACTTCAAAATCCCACGCAAACGTATTCGGGTCCGTTTTGTTGAACTCAACCATCGCTTCGTACAATTTCTTCATGACCCCTTCCCGAGAATTCTTGATGATGCTTTGGACGAGACCACCGCCCATCATTCCCCATTTCCAGCCTTCCAAATTAACCAATTCATCCAAACTGGAAAACGGACGCGTTTCGATCTTCTCTGTCAATTTTGCCGTAAGGTTTCCAACGTAAGTCGCAGTTAAAACGACTGCGAAGAACCAAAAGTGCGCTACTAAAATGCGAGCTGACGTTTTCTTAGGCCATAATCCATTTCCATTCAACGATACAAATCCCAAGACGGGTGTTAAAGAGGAAAAGAATTTCAAAAGGGTCCGTTTTTTAGTGACATAAAATGAAGAATTTTGATCAAAATTTTCGTCAATCAGGTAAAATAAAATTCCAACAACTATCACAGTCGCAAGAAGACAGACGTACACGTAACCGCTAAGTGGTCGGAACAGTTTTATCCAATTACTGTCCTCGGAGATGTCTTTGCGGAAGATGACTCCCAAATTCTGATTGATATACATGGGCAGAATGAAGTCAATTACTTCCAGTCGTTCACTTGATATGGTAAAATCTGCTACGACCATGTCAACTTTTTGGTAGAACAATTGTCCAGTCAAACCATTCCACGTGCCGTTAACGACAGCGCCGTATCGTCGGTCCGGCGTCTCCACAAACGAGTATGTAAAATTTAGCTGCTGTGCTAGAATTGTGGTTAAGTCAGATAAAATTCCGGTGTATATGGTATTATTGTTTTCATCGTACCTCTTTGAAATAAATTGGTCTATATAAACAGTACCGATTTGAAGATGACGACCATTAAACTTATACTTTATATTTGGAAAGATTTCGTCAACAGAACACTTGACGTTATTTTGAAGACATGGAACTTCCTTTCTGTGTTGTCCATCCACGACAGAAATTGCCTCTAAAGTCCCTTTCTTACACTGTAAAAGTATGACATGTTTCAATTCCAATGGTTGTTCGAAATTGAAATGATCGAAAATAATCCATTGTGAATTTGTTCTGAAATTGGTCGTCCTGTTCGATTCATAATCCAAAACGTTTGTCAATTCTAAGAATGGGACAGTGCTTTCATTCAAAATAAAAAGGAACCCGTCCGCACCGTCATACGACGTAAGGAGGATGCGTTTCATATATTCACGACTCTTGTTAGTGACATCATACGTACACATTTGTAATCCGTAAGCCTTCTCGTCTAACGAATCAAAAATATATCGTAAGTCGAAATCGTCTTCTGTCGAATGGATGATTGCTACACTTTTCCACGACAATGTACGCATTATCTGCGACAACAATGAATAATCATTTACACAGTAAAGCTGATCCTGCTTGAGAAACTTCTCCAAATTACTGCCGATACTTAAATTCGATTCACAAACCAGTATCAGAAATAAAAAGGACACTACAAAAGTTCTGCCGCAACAATTAGCCATTGCCTTTTCCCATTACATACTTAGCACGCTTATTCAAACTACATCCTAAGGAAAATGTTTAGACAAATATTCTAAATTGCTGCCGATTCTTAAAATCGATTCACAAACCATCATCATGAAAGTGAAGAAAATTACAGAAGTTCTGCCGCAAGAATTAGCCATTGTCTTCTCCTATTACATACTTAGCATGTTTGTTTGGTAAATCGTCACGAACAGCACACATTCAATAACAGTATTTGTAAAGGATAAGCTTCTGGGTTGTAATCTGGGTTAGTTTGTGTCAGCCCAGTCCAGGTCAAATCGGCTGTATTTGTAAATGGGTACAGATAATCCGAGAAAGATCAATGCCAAATGGTTCAACCAAGGACCAGCTTGTAGAAGGGATCCTTAGTGAACCTAACTAAGTTATCCTTGTGCAAAATGATTCTTTCTTCATTTCTTTTATATTGTGAAAATCATATTTTACACGAATTAATGCGAAATCTGTTATCTCAGTGTTCAAGAATATATGTGTTTTTTAGTTTCATTTGCTTATAGATATTTCAAAAAGCAGTCCGATTTTCCAAAAATGCTCCACCATTACTTTTATTTCCAAAGTTCCAAAACTATCAATACGAATATTTTCGTCAATGTTTATTGAAGCCAGATTTCACCTCATCATAACTGAAACTAACGTAATCAGTCGCACGCAATTACTAATATCAACAAAGTCTCGACATAGTCCTACCAAAACTTTCAAATTTAGTCAAACTCCGAGAGCTACATATTTGGTCTACACAAATCACTCGGAATTTCCAGTCAAAAATTGAAATTCTGTCTGAAAGCTTTCAGAATCAGTATGTTCGTTTTTTTTGTTTCGTCCAACTTTGAAACGTTAACTCTTATTTCCAGAAAAGCTGTCCTCTGTATCTGTAACACAAGGCGACAGCATTAGATAATCTCTAGTCAATTAAACTCCATTAGTTTATAATTCTATAATTGCAGTTAATGTGTTATCAATGTTTTAATCTACCCTTACTAATGTTGACAATCTACAACTATTAATTGCGAAAATGTTTGATTTAGGCGTTGTCATAATTTGGTCTTAGATGTGATCTAATAAGTAAGAAACATCACATTTATAAAGCTCAAACGCTGTAAGTTTCATAATATGTTCAGTCGTTAACAATTTTATTCGTGTATGTTTACGACGTTGGAATAGCTCAGTCGTTGGGGGGTTGGATTGGCTATTTATGCCGTAGGTTCGAATCCGTCTCAAGGTTAGCAAATTACGGATACCAATGCTTCCGGCATCTACTTCACAATGGTTAAGGTATAACGAAATACGCCTTATACCTTGATTGCAATAGTCACTGTTCTGGTATCGCGACGATATGATTGGACCGTCCGCCAGCGAATTTAGCCAACTACAGCCCTCGACACAAAGACATTATGGTTTAATGTTAATAGACTTTTGTCGAGGCCTCTGATTGGCTGAATTGAATAGTGTTCGCTCCAACCAAACACTTCATTTACAAACTTCCATAATACAAGAATATGGGTTATTGTAGTCAAGGTATAAGTTCGTAATAGCTTAACCATTTCACAACCACAACCCACCTACGTCCACTAATCTGCTCTTGATGTAACAATTTTCAAAACATTTTCACTACGAGTCAAAGCCTTCCTTCAAAAAATGCCCCTATTCTTGAGAAACCAATTCATTCAAAAAATCTCATACTTCTACCTAATGACTACCTCATCAAGACCACCCTTGTCTGTTTCAATCGAACCAGGTTAATTTTGAGCAGGTGGTACTCAACTGTCATGGAGGCTCAAAACACAGTTTTTGTCGCATATGGACGTACAACTGCCCTCTAAGAACAATAACTTTACTGTACTTAGTCTTTTAATTTTTTAAGTCGTTATTGCCAATTTTAACCCTTACAATAGTCGCATAATAACACATATCATTCTTCAACCAATATTTTCTAGGTAATCAAGTCTAGCGAGAAACGTGTTTATGTCTGTACATCGATCGTCACGTATTATGCATTAATCATGTACAAAGTCCACAAGATTCAAATTTCATCAATTACAGCCATTATCAGATGTTACTCTTACAGAAAGGTGGGTCAGTAAATGACTAGTTAATGTTCGCTTCCATCTGAGGTTGATATCACAGACTAGGTAGTTTTCAGTAGATAACGTTGCGTCCAGTAGATACTGGTATCGCAGACTAAGAAGTTGTTGGTAGATGCATGTTAACATCCACCTAACTGATATCGTAGTCAAGGAAGTTGTTGGTAGATTGTAAGTTAACGTCCGCTTCCAGCTAACTGATATCATAGAATAGGTAGTTGTTGGTTGATGACAAGTTAACGTCCGCTTCCAGATAACTGATATCGCAACCTAGGTATATTCTGGTAGATGACAAGTTAACGTTCATTTCCAGCAGATGCTGATTTCGCAGACTAGGTAGTTGGAAGATGGATCTAGGTTGGTTGGTAGGTGACAAGATAACGTCGCGTCAAGCAGATGCTGATATAGCAGCCTAAGTAGTTGTTGGTAGTCGTAGTTGGATTGGTTAAATTTCATGACTCTGCACTATTATTTTAAAGGCCAGAATTCATCATTTACGGAGATTGATTTTGGGCCTTGAATGCTTGTAAATGGTCTTCAAAAGTACCAGATCGGTACGAAAATTGCGTTATTCCTAAAACTAGGCTTTTCACTTATCCTGTTTTTTCTTCCAATAGTTCAGATCTTTTGTCAGAAAATTGGGTACCCGAATTTGTTCGTCTTGTTAATAAAAACTACATTAGGAAATACGGGATACGGATATTTTTTTTTATTATGCAGTCCTACGTCATGACTGAGTCCGAAGTAATGTTCGCACACGGATAACCAGGAATACACAGTTGTCAATCAAACAATTTAAAAGCTTTTCAATGACTACGTGCATAAAGTTGTTAGCATAAACATAAGTTCTATTTACTTGGTGATCTGATAAAATCGACTTAGAACCTGATGTACTGTGGTACACTAATGTCTAACTTGTAGAGTGGTTGTACTTAATTTCCTTCATTTGTGGTATGCCTCCCACGTACTTTTAACTAGTGGTGTGGTTATACTTATTGTTCGTCATGAAATGCGGTGAGCTTCCAACGTACGTCTAACTAGTAGTGTGGTTGTACTTTTTGTTCCTCATGAAATGCTATGTGCTTCCAACGTATGTCTAACTAGTAGTGTGGTTGTACTTAATGTCCTTCATTTGTAGTACACTTTCCACGTACGTCTAACTGATAGTGTGGTTGCACTTAATGTCCTTCATTTGTAGTACACTTTACACTTTCCGTTGCTATGTGCTTCCAACATATGTCTAACTAGTAGTGTGGTTGTACTTAATGTCCTTCATTTGTGGTACACTTTCCATGTACGTCTAACTGATAGTGTGGTTACACTTAATGTCCGCCATAAAATGTGGAATGCTTCCAACGTACGTCGAACTCGTAGTGTTGTACTTCATTTCCTTAATGTACAGTAGAATTCTCGTTGGTCTAGGATCTGGATTTCGATCCTATCATGGTCCCGCATTTTTCAGATTGTCCGCCATAAAATGCGGAATGCTTCCAACGTACGTCCAACTCATGGTCCCGCATTTTTCGGATTTTTTTTATCCGAATCCTTCTGTTAGTGATGCAAGTCGAAGGGTTGACATGGAGTTAGTGTCTAGTCGTTCGTATACGTTATACCTTCACCGTTTGCTATATTACAAACAGCTGTTGTAGTATATTGGCCTGATTATATTTATAAAATGTCAGTTATCTCCCTTCTTTGGGCAACGGGATAAGCTGAAGTTCAGAAATGGGCATAAGAAACTACGTGTCATGTGTGCGTAGTTATAAATGGCTCAACTACCATAGGACTGATTGAACCAAGTATACGAGCCCCCAACCCTAAGGAGGCCCAAACCTCAGAAAAAAAAATACAAAAATTAAAATTTACCAAATTTATAATTATAATCACAATAAGCAACCAATGATATATTAATGAGTGAAATAACTTAACATAAGAGATGTCTTTCAAATTTCAAATTAACAGCCATTAAATTTAATTACAGAAGGGTTTCAGAATGCAGGTAACCATAATAAGTTAAAAAAATTCCCGGGGCAGAGGCCCCAACCCACATAAGTCCACAGGCCCTCACTAAACTAGTTGAGCCACTGGTCGTTACATATGTGGAAAAGTATTCTTGTCTTTTCAGAGCTGTTACTTTTAACAGACAACACGTATTT